CGGGGAAGAGTTAATTTATGCTGAGAGTAAGAGCAAGCTTTGACAGCAACACGCATTTCATCAGTAAACGTGAATGTGTTGGCCGACTTTGGTATTTCACTTATTAAATTGGTCAATAACCACATCTTTTAAATGCAAAACAAAATCTAACAAAATACTCAGAAAGACACAAACATAAAGGCAACATTCCTCGTTTCATATCCATGACACATTTGTACAAATGCTCCTTCTTCCCTAGTGCTATTAGAGCATGGAATAGGTTGCCTGAGCCAGCCAGGAAAACCAGTGACTTGGCAGAATTTATGTCATTGGTTAACATGCATGACTAGATGCATGACGCGTAGGACGTAGGCCTAATCATCTTCTTTTAAAGTAACGTCTGTATTATATAAGATAATAAGATAAGAATAAATAGACTAAAACCTATTAATTTAAAACCATCTTTTTTTTTTTTTTTTTGAAGGAACGTCTGTAATGAAGATCAGAAATTAATTTGAAAAGCCTAATGGAATAACTCTAGTTTAACACGAAAATACTATTTGAATCTACAATATTTATGAGAGGGTTACCCCCCATGCGCAGGATGCAAACCAAAAGTGACGTAAAGCTTAACAAATAGTTCGATATAGAAATAAAATCAAAAAATAGTTGGACATTCTATGTAGGACTATTTTGGAAAAGGGATGAAGATAAGTGACATTAGAATTCAGAATCATAATAGGCGGGCCATTCAATTTGAAATATGCTATTAAAAAGTACATATATGGGTACCAAATCAGTACCTGGGCACCTGGGATACCAAATCAGCTGGCGTAGAAAGTGCTTACAAGCTAAGTTTCGACTACGGGTAACTGATAAATCTAGAATCTCTTCTCCCTTTCATTTTTTTTTAGAAATGTTATAATTAAGATGTGATTATCAGAATTCTTGAATATCAAAGTACCGGTATCTACATTATAGTCTTGATACCCTGCCCGCTGCCCTCCCCCGTCGTCTTGGGAAAGGTTTGGAGTAAAGGATGTAGAATAGTAGATTATCTTCAACATCCGTAAAATAAACCATAGTATGGCAACACGCATTCTCGTAGGCCTACTAATTAATATTGGTCCTAAATTATGCCTAATCTGAGAAACGTTAAAATTTTTTTTTTGACATTGTCTCGAATGTACAGACTAACAAAATAACGTTGTTGCCTTGTTGGCCAGCTTGGCCACTGCTCTTTGAAGTGGTGTTGGGTTACTACAAAGATGGCCAGCTTGGCCACTGCTCTTTGAAGAGGTGTTGGGTTACTACAAAGATGGCCAGCTTGGCCACTGCTCTTTGAAGTGGTGTGTTGGGTTACTAGAAAGATGGCCAGCTTGGCCACTGCTCTTTGAAGTGGTGTGTTGGGTTACTAGAAAGATGGCCAGCTTGGCCACTGCTCTTTGAAGTGGTGTGTTGGGTTACTAGAAAGATGGCCAGCTTGGTCACTGCTCTTTGAAGTGGTGTTTTGGGTTACTAGAAAGATGGCCAGCTTGGCCACTGCTCTTTGAAGTGGTGTGTTGGGTTACTAGAAAGATGGCCAGCTTGGCCACTGCTCTTTGAAGTGGTGTTGGGTTACTAGAAAGATGGCCAGCTTGGTCACTGCTCTTTGAAGTGGTGTTTTGGGTTACTAGAAAGATGGCCAGCTTGGCCACTGCTCTTTGAAGTGGTGTGTTGGGTTACTAGAAAGATGGCCAGCTTGGCCACTGCTCTTTGAAGTGGTGTTGGGTTACTAGAAAGATGGCCAGCTTGGCCACTGCTCTTTGAAGTGGTGTGTTGGGTTACTAGAAAGATGGCCAGCTTGGCCACTGCTCTTTGAAGTGGTGTTGGGTTACTAGAAAGATGGCCAGCTTGGCCACTGCTCTTTGAAGTGGTGTGTTGGGTTACTAGAAAGATGGCCAGCTTGGCCACTGCTCTTTGAAGTGGTGTTGGGTTACTAGAAAGATGGCCAGCTTGGCCACTGCTCTTTGAAGTGGTGTGTTGGGTTACTAGAAAGATGGCCAGCTTGGCCACTGCTCTTTGAAGTGGTGTTGGGTTACTAGAAAGATGGCCAGCTTGGCCACTGCTCTTTGAAGTGGTGTTGGGTTACTACAAAGATGGCCAGCTTGGCCACTGCTCTTTGAAGTGGTGTTGGGTTACTAGAAAGATGGCCAGGAGAACGGTTGTGGCGCCTGGTTAGAAACTTCGGAATACTCTTCACTTTAGAGGCTTTTGTATGGGCCTACACATCTGTATCGCACTGTGGTATTACTGGGGGGAAATAGTAATAAAAACCTATTCCAATGTATGCCTGGTCGTGCGGTATGCACACTGGACAGTCGACTGGACTGTCGTTCGGATAGTCCAGGGTTCATACCCTGCTCGCTGCCATCCCCGTCGTCTCGCGGGAGGATTGGGCTAGGATTAAATTATCTTCAAATCTGAAGGAACACCCGAACTATGTAAAACATGCATGTTACAAACAAACATGAACCTGATTCAACGTAAAGGATTTACAATAACGTACAAAAAGAGCTCGAACTTTTTTTTTTTTAAGTTGTCTAGTCAACAGGCGTACTTATGTAGACTAGACCTATAGCAGTAACCTAAATTTAAAAAAAAAAACTGTTCTACCTAGCCACGTGGTATTGTTTGTCATAACAATGTCAAGGTCACTGAGACAACAATAAGTAAGACTAAAAAAAAAAGGAAAAATTGTGATGTTTCTTTCACTTACCTTTGGTCCTTTGTCTGTGTAACTCGTCTGAAAATGTAATAAAAATCAAATCAACTAAGACTTTCAAGACAATTACCACTAGAATTATTGCAAATGACTAGCTTTTGTAACTTTCACAAATTGTCTTACCATGTTTTCAGGTAGTAAAGTTATTGCTTGCTTGGCCTAAATGGAATGCACCACATCACAGCACACACCTCCGAATGCTCGAGTTTGCATTGGTTGGGTGTACGAAGTTTCGTCCAATAGAAACATGAGAAAATGTGCACACCTCCAAGGACAATCTAAGTCACGCTCGGGTCTTGTTGCTAGTTAACTCTTACCCTTGGCCTAGTTTGTATAACAGTAGAGCCCTGGCTCTATAATAATGTTGGGTTTTTTGGTCGTTCAGCAAACTGCAAAAGGTGTTGACGTTACGAATAACATTTTGACAAAGTGTACCCGAATGCTGGATTTTAAAATGTATGTCTTTCTATAGATATTTTGCAACAGGCGAAAAGTACCAAGCTATTTTAAAACCCTATATAGGCCTATCGCCAGTGGCGTAGCTAGGGTGGGGGTAGAGGGAAGAATCTGAAAATTCCCCCGGCCCCCACTTGAGGGGGCTCCAAATGAGTGGGTTTTTTTTTTACATTTAAAATTAAATATTACGCAAAAGAGGTCAAGCCCCCCGCCGGGCCCCCAAACGATGGGAAAATTCCTAGCTACGCCCCTGCCTATCACATATATCGAACACGGTTTGGAAAACTCCTCCATTCCATATTTTAACTTAAATTATATTTATCGTAGGCCTTGTATAATTTAATATTTAAACTCTTACATTTATAATGAAGTAGACATATAGGCCTAGATTCTAGTAAAAGCATATAACTATGTTGTGTTTTTTTTTAAAAGAAAAGAAATCACCACCATCATCATGAATCAGAAACTCTGCTGTCTCGCGTAATGCATAGAAGCTAGCCTACATGTCATCATACAGGTCGATAATTTTTGGTTTCCCAGACCTGAAAAGAAATAGATTCGTTTATTTATTTACTTTCTCTGAGCATGAGTCGTGACACAAGCAGTAGCCGAGGTTATAGTGTTTGTTTTAAGTCTATCCTTATCACTGTTAGTGTACAACTATAACTTTAGAAAAGAATAGCTTCTTTCAAAACTGCATGCTACATTGCAAAGGAAAAAGTGTTGAAGACGCTATACATTAGGGCCTTTAGGATACATTAAACTTTAAAGAAATAGAATACCAATATGAAAAATAAAAGACTAATCCAAGCTCTTTAGGCAATAATAGCCATAGACTATATATAGTCTATGATAATAATTAATCGCTCTGATCCATCAGCCATGCTCTCTTCCAGTTATTCTCATCTCTCTAATCCAACCTCTCTCTCTTTCTCTCTCAATCGCTCGACGCCCTCTCTGTCTATTTCACTCACCATTTCTCCCTCCTAATCGCGCGGGACCATTCTTTAATATATGTGTAGCCTACTTGGATTCAATTAGATATTGTTATTGGGTCACTTTCGTCGATATAAGACTTTGACCTACAAACTTTACGTTTCTCTAGGAATGAAAATAATTTTCCATAGAGGGCCAACTCATATTTTTATTATTGCATGGTAGATAAGCCAGGATGTGTAGGCCTATTATATTGGCGAGTCTCTTGCATTCTCAAAATGCAATGCAATCAGGTCCATTTCGTACTGTATTTTTGTTAGCTTTCGTGTTCCTGCATGAACGTTTCCATGCGTTTGTCATTTTGAGAACTCGGCTGTTACATCTGGGAAACAATATGACGGTCTATGTAGCCAGTGGATTGGTCATTTAGTCAATTCAACTACAGACGCAATGCACTTAAAACACGTTTCTACCAAAGGCAGAGAAAATAGATTGGGAGGAAGATCTAAACAACAAAGTTGGTTGCATGTTGTCGGTAGCTCAGCCACGAAAGGTCACCATGTGCAGTTCCAGCCCAGAAAAATACGAACTAAATATGTTTGTACGAAAATGTTATTATTTCCTAAATCAGTATTGTGGACTTCAGCTCAGACTCTGATTCTGTCATCTGTACGATTTTCTTTTAATATTACTTTTTTTTATATGACTGTTCATTAGAAGAATGGCTTGTCTATCTTTAAGTGTCGTGACTGACTGTCTTCTGAAAGTATGATCTAAATTGAGAAACAAGAACTAAGTCTAGAATGGAAATATTTTAATAAATTTCCTAACAAAATGTAAATGTAAAAAAAAAAAAAAAAAAAAAAAAATGAAATAAACTCTAGAATAGAAAATTTAAAAAATAATTTTAGAAAAACTGTGCAAGGGGTGGGGGGAGGGTAATAAGATATGAAAAATAGTTTTATTTCATGTTACTAATACATCTAGAATATTACCTAAACCACTGTAGTGTCAACTTATGTCAGACAATCATTTATAAGAATCTAACAAAAATATAATTTTATACAGGGGCAAACTGTGAAAATTATGTAGCCCTGGGATTAGTTTTGGTCATTACTATTTTGTCCATGAATCACAGTCTACTAGTCAACAGAGGCACAGTCTACTAGTCAACAGAGGCACAGTCTACTAGTCAACAGAGGCACAGTCTACTAGTCAACAGAGGCACAGTCTACTAGTCAACAGAGGCACAGTCTACTAGTCAACAGAGGCACAGACTATTAGTTAACAGAGGAACAGTCTACTAGTCAACAGAGGCACAGTCAACTAGTCAACAGAGGCACAGTCTACTAGTCAACAGAGGCACAGTCTACTAGTCAATAGAGGCACAGTTTACTAGTCAAAAGAGGCACAGTCTACTAGTCAACAGAGGCACAGTCTACTAGTCAACAGAGGCACAGTCTACTAGTCAACAGAGGCACAGTCGACTACTCAACAGAGGCACAGTCAACTAGTCAACAGAGGCACAGTCAACTAGTCAACAGAGGCACAGACTATTAGTTAACAGAGGAACAGTCTACTAGTCAACAGAGGCACAGTCAACTAGTCAACAGAGGCACAGTCTCAGTCGGCTACTCAACAGAGGCACAGTCCGCTACTCAACAGAGGCACAGTCTACTAGTCAACAGAGGCACAGTCTACTAGTCAACAGAGGCACAGTCTACTAGTCAACAGAGGCACAGTCTACTAGTCAACAGAGGCACAGTCTACTAGTCAACAGAGGCACAGTCTACTAGTCAACAGAGGCACAGACTATTATTTAACAGAGGAACAGTCTACTAGTCAACAGAGGCACAGTCAACTAGTCAACAGAGGCACAGTCTACTAGTCAACAGAGGCACAGTCTACTAGTCAACAGAGGCACAGTCTACTAGTCAACAGAGGCAGTCTACTAGTCAACAGAGGCACAGTCTACTAGTCAACAGAGGCACAGACTATTATTTAACAGAGGAACAGTCTACTAGTCAACAGAGGCACAGTCAACTAGTCAACAGAGGCACAGTCAACTAGTCAACAGAGGCACAGTCTACTAGTCAACAGAGGCACAGTCGACTACTCAACAGAGGCACAGTCGACTACTCAACAGAGGCACAGTCTACTAGTCAACAGAGGAACAGTCTACTAGTCGACAGAGGAAGTCTACTTGTGTAAGCTATAATAAGATTGTGGGAAATGTGTTTAATTAGTTTTACAGAGTAAGATCTGTAAAAGATCTTTTACAATGATCCAAGGGCCCTTTAATATAAGAATATAAAATTGTTTATTGTCATTAAAAGGGGCCAATAAGCATTAGCCTAATTTCATACCTATGTATCAAGCATATGAAATTGTCTTTAAAGGTGCACATTTTAAATCAAACAATACTTTATGAGATGTTAGCACTGTCATCCTAACATGAAATGAATTAATAGTTAAACAAAAGCAGCGCTTAAAAACTGAGAGCTTATTGGTTCATTATACTGAGTTCCTCTTGCTCTCGATTGCTAGACACTGCCTTGACAAGGGAGGAGAGAAATTTGTTAAACTCCCTTCTGACTTTCTCTGCTGACTCTTCCTCTAGACTTGTGTGTATTAGTGGGATCTTGGAGAAACTGTTTGCTGTGAAAACACAAAATTTGTAAAACAACAGAAAATTAAAAACAATTTTGCTAAAATGGAAATAATTTAAGGTGATGCTGACATAGAAGAGAATCCAATGCAGAGTAAACTTACAACAGATTTGAACCTTTGGTGAAAACCACTATGAAAGATACGAAGAATACCATAAATGACTTGGACCAAATACTGAAAACAACCCAGGCACTCAAACATAGGCTGCAGAAGCCTAATGTATGTTTAAAACAAATCTTAATTAAAAATATTTATATTCTTTTTACACACTGTTTTTTTTTTATATTCTGCTATATTAGTTTTATTTAAGATTTTAAAGTCAATATAATCTTTTTTATTCAGCAGTGAGTGAAAAGTAAGAATTGAATGAATACATGTCTTTATGTAAGTTTAACTTAGGCTGTTACTTATAATAATCTCAAGTATCACAAGAAAAGTATGTTTCCTGCTCAGGATCAGTGGTTACATTTTAGTCTTGACATACAACTGATCTCTTTTTTGTCTTAAATTTCAAAGAGTCCATGTACTTCACTGATATTTAATTTTGTTTAACTCTGTTTAAGGTTATACATGTTATTTTATTGTGCATGAAATTGCTATAATATTGTGATTGAAAAGGATTGTGAGACTAATGTTGTGTACTATACCATTTTTTGTTGATTACTTAAAGAACTATGTTACAATTTTTACAACAAATTGTCTCTATGGCCAATTAAAGATATAGGTATAGAATGGAATCCAAATACCATATTTTTGCGCATACAACCAGCACATGCATATACCCAGCACGAATTACAAAAAAAAAAAAAGAAAAAGAAAATTGTACAAACAGCACCCTTATATATCTCACATGTGCAAAGCATGACTTGTTGTAGACCATGTTGCTCATCAGACGTCTGTCCCTCGAGATGCAATCGTGCTCCAGTTGTTGTTCCAACAAGTGATACATACAATGTGACAGGCATGTGAAATACAAGCCTATGGTCATATCCGTACACAGCAAACTATAGGTGGTATTAAGACCTACAGGCATGTCCATAGTTTTTGTTAAGTCATGTTTATGAGTAAAATAAATTATGTATATGGTACTCCGCATCTTTGTCTACCCTGCACAGCCACCTTTAGTTTGTAAAGACAAAAGTAACAAAATTATTCTGTGCACCAGTAGGCCTTTTTACCCAGCCATAACAAGCTAGCAGGATTGAAGTCCAATCTATCAGCAGATTGTTAATCATTTGAAGTGAAATATAAGTTTTAAAAAAAAACTGCCTGAGAAATCAGACAAAAAATGTTATCCCATTCACATAAGTGAAAAAAAAAATGTTAAAGATAAAAGACGAAATTCCATTATCCTATTTGAGGATTTTACTGACAAGAGTTATCTAACTGGAGTGATCATTAAATGAACTTGTGTGTTACCCGTGCTTGTAATCGTGCTAGTATTTGTAATCATGTTCGCATTATCGTAGTCTGTGAATCGTGACCAGTCTGTACTGTGTTATTGTGTGTATCAGTTGAGTTTTATTGAAATAAAGCCTTGTTTCTAAGGTTATGAATTGATTTAGTATATTACAATTTATTTCAATAAAACCATTCTTAAATGGACAAGTTTTTGCGTCCCAATAGACTGGAAGCTGATCCTAGTTCAACTAATGCTTCAGTTACATGGAAACATTGGATTTCTTGTTTTGACAGATTCGCAACAAAGGTAGGGGCTAGTAAAAGCGAACAGTTTGACCTGCTATGCAACTTTGTGTCTCCATCCTTATATCAGTATATTTCTACCTGTTCTAGATACTCAGTAGCAAAATCTATTCTTGAGAATTTATTTGTGAAGGCCCCTAATGAAACATTGGCCAGACATTTGCTTGCAAATTGCAAACAAGAAGTCGATCAAAGTCTTGATCAATTTGTACACAAGCTGAGAGTGTTGGCCAGAGATTGTCAGTTCCGAGCTGTTAGTGCTGACAAAAATGAAGAGGACGCCATTCGCGATGCCTTTGTTAGCGGCACGCATTCGAGTGTAATTAGACAGAGGCTACTTGAGAAAAGATCCCTTGACATGAAAATGGCTTTAGATATTGCCAAGACACTCGACATGGCCCAAAAAGAATCCAGTTCGTTTAGTGCTCCTTCTCAGTTGGTAGAGTCATCTCTTTCGTCATCGGCAATCTCAACCGAAGAAATGGTGGACTCAGAAACAATCGCAACATTGAATACTAAATGTTTCTTTTGCGGAGGTAGTCGGCATCTCAGAGCAAAATGCCCTGCCAAAGACTGCATGTGTCATTCTTGCGGGGAAAATGGACATTTTTCGAAGGTTTGCAGGTCTCGCAACACACCTATAATCAAAACAAAAGTCAAAACATCTCCTAGCTACGAGATTAAAAGACAATCTTGTAGAGATTGTAGCTGCATTTAGGACTCTACACATCTAACATCACTAATTGCTACTTCGTCTGTACCTGGTTTAACTAAATCAACAGTACACATCTCTGTAAATGGCGTGAACCTAAAAGCCCTAATTGATACAGGTAGCGGGGTAAGTTACATTTCTTCAAACATACCAAGAGAGTATGATTGGTCAGTGACACGTTCAAAGCACAAAATTTCTATGGCGTCATCTCAACTGTCAAGCGTCACAAGAGGCCACATGTTTGCATCGCTAAAATACAAAGGGGAAGTTTACAATCAATTCAAACTTTCGTTACTAGATGAACTTTGCACTGATGTAGTGCTTGGGTTGGATTTTCTCGCATTACACAAAGAACTGATAATTCCATTCAACGGTGGTCGACCTGCATTTCATGTTTGCTCGCTCAATGCTGTTAAGGTAGAGGCACCACAATTGTTTGCAAATTTATCCCCTGACTGCAGACCTATTGCTAATAAATCTCGTCGTTACTCCTTCCAAGACACACAATTTATCAAAGCTGAAGTTGAGAAATTGATACGAAACGGTATCATTGAACCTTCCAAATCACCTTGGAGAGCTCAAGTCCTTGTCACGACCAATGAGCGGCAAAAAAAGCGAATGGTCGTTGATTATAGCCAGACTATAAATAGATTTACTTACCTGGACGCTTACCCAATGCCAAGAGTGGACGAAATGGTGGAGAAAATTTCCAGGTATGAAATCTTTAGCACATTGGATCTGGAGAGTGCTTATCACCAAATACCTATCCAACAGAGCAAAAAGAAATACACAGCTTTCGAAGCTTGCGGTAAACTCTACCAGTTTTGCAGAATACCCTTTGGGGTCACTAACGGTGTAGCATGCTTCCAGAAAACCATAGACACTATTATAGAAAAAGAAAAGTTGTCTGACACGTTTGCCCATGTCGACAATGTAACAATATGTGGTACAGATGTAGACTCTCATAACAAAAATCTGTTGCGTTTTCAGAAGGTAGCTCTGGAATACGGAATAACTTTCAACAAAAGTAAAAGTGTATTTGCTACTAAGAAGGTAAAGCTGCTTGGATAT